GAAGAGAAATGAAAACTTTTGCTGCCCTTCCCCCCAAATTCCGTACAGCAATTTCTAATTAAGGGTCAGAGAATACTGTCTTATTTTTCTCTGGGTAGGACCCAGAGCTCTTGGTGTGATACAATATTAACTCTTAACCCCTCAAATAAAGAAACCTGCTCTTATCCAAATCAGCATTTTGCCTTGGCCTTGGGAAAGGTCTTCTTACTTCTTTCCCAACTTGGAAGGACCTAACTAATCCACACTGAGAGTCGTCCCGGGCACCCTCTTCACTGTGGGGTTCAGTTATGGCAGTGACACAGCGACGTTACAGTCTCCCTCTCTCCCTCCCCATACCACACTCAAATATCTGTTGAAGTCGTAGATGGACTTTAGGTCTTCCCTTCCAGTTAGGTTTTGAGTACTTAAAGGCATAATGCCTCATGTATAGATATCAATAAATAAAATATACACATTCAGAACATATAACCTTCCTTCACATCAAATTAGAGAAGGGACACTGAAAGCAGAATTACCCGTTTTTAATAATAATAACATTTCATAATAGTAATAATAATTGAATAAGGCCCTCCTGAGGAGCCTTAACCTTCTGAATGCCTCAGAAACAAAGTAGGGTGGGAGCAGCCCTGGGCTGTACACGATGGACGTGGCATCACTGCCTTAACTGTCTGACCAGCACACCGGTGTCTCAGACCTGCACCTGGTTCTCAGATCATGGACAAGAGAGCTATTCTTACTGTATTGACTTGGTGTAACTATTTTTTTAAGCTTAAGATTCCGTTGATTTTCGGCAGCCGTTCTCAAAAAGGCGCCTCTACTCTGCATTCTTGACTTCTGGTTCACTGTGGACTGGAAAACAGAGCTGAGGCAGGCGTGCCACGCAGGCTTGTTGAGTTACGGTCAGACTCACTGGGAACAAGACTGGCCCTGACCACACCTGGTGGCATTACTGGGCTGGAGGAGCAGCTTCGATCCCGTCTTGTGTGAGGTTATTTATGAGCTTAGAAGAGCTGTGTCTGCGTTATTCAGGCTTGACGACTTCTGCTTTTCATCTGGCTCCTTTTGTTCAGATTGGCACCACTCCTGGCACCTTTCCAGAGCTGGCGGTCCTCTTTCCCATCCTTGTTTGCAATTCTTGTTGGGTGGATTCGTGTCCTCAGTTTTCCAGGCAGCCCTGTCCAGTGCTACTGGGCAGATTTAACCGAAGATTTCCTTCCCTTCCTTCTAGAGCTATGCCTTTATTATTTTTCCCTCCCTTAGTCTGTCAGCCAAGCCTGAGTAAGATTATTGGAAAGAAATGATTGGGGTGTATCCATACAATGGGTTATATTCATCAGTAAGAAGGAATGAACTATGGATACATGCAACAGCATGAATGGATCTTGGACATTCTGCTAAGTGGAAAAAGCCAGTCTCTAAAGGTCACATACTGTATGATCCTATTTATATAATGTCCTTGAAATGACATAATTATTTAAAAAAAAGGAGAAGAGATTAGTGGTTGCTGGGGGGAGTGCTTATAAAGGGGTAGTATAAGGGGATGGCTGTAGTGATGGGACAGTTCTGTATTTTGAATGTGGTACTCAGTACATGAATCTACGCATGTGACACTGTGACACACAATTATACATACACTTTACGGCAATGTGAATCTTCTGGTTTTTATATTACGCTCTAGTTATATAAGCTGTAGCCAGTGAGGAAACTGGCTAAAGGGTACACACATGGAATCTCTCTGTACTATCTTTACAGCTTTCTGTGAATTTATAATTATTTTAAAATAAAACTTAAAAAAAAACTATTGCTATATGCAACAACATGGATAAATCTCAATTATGCTGAATGAATAAGCCAGTCAGAAAAGAAAACAGAGAAAAAATACAGATAATTAGACTACATCAAATCTAAAAACTTTAATGCTGCAAACCATACCATCAAGGAAGTGAAAAGACAACCGACATGATGTGAGAAAATATTTGCAAATCATGTATCTGATAAAGGATTTATATCCAGAATATATAAAGAACTCTTATAACTCAATAATAAAAAGACAAACCCAACTGAAAAATGAGCACAGGATTTGAGTGGACATTCTCCAAGAAGACATGCCAATGGTTATTAAGCACATGAAAAGATGTTTAACATCATCAGTCATGTGAGAAATGCAAAGCAAAGCTACAGAGAGATAGCAGTTCACACTCACTAGGATGGCAATAATCAAAAAGACAGATAATAACAAGTGTTGATAAGGATATGGAGACATTTGGGACCCTCATACCCCACTGGTGGGAATGTAAAATGGTGCAGCTACTTTGGAAAATACTATGGCAGTTCTTCAAAATGTTAAACATAGTTACCATATAACACGGTAATTTTACTCCAAGAGAACTGAAAACATGTTCATACAAAAACTTGCACAGCAGTGTTCATAGCAGCATTATTCATCAGTCGAAAGGCCCCAATGCCCACGAACTGATGAATGAATAAATGAAATATGGAATATCCATACTATCCATAATATTGTGAACATTAGTCAGCGATAAAAAGGAATAAAGTACTGATGCATGCTACCAGTTGGATGAACCTTGAAAACATTATGCTAAATGAAAGAAGCTACTCACAGGAAGCCACATATATTATTTAATTTATAAGAAATATCCAGAATAGGGAAGTCGAAAGGGACAGAAAGTGGATTTGCAGTTGCCTAGGATTAGGGGATTAGGGAGGAAATGGGGAATGACTGATAAATGGGCATAGGAATTTCTTTTGGGGGGGCATGAAAATATTCTAAACTTAGATTGTGCTAATGGTTGCACAACTCTATAAATGTACTAAAAGCCATTGAACTGTACATTTTAAATGAATGTATTTTATGATGTTTAAGAAGAATATGTACTGTATGATTACATTTATATAAAATTCTTGAAAATGCAAGCTAATCTATGGTGACAAAACATCAGTTGCTTGGAGATGGGAGGTGGAGGGGGAGGGATTATAAATGCACATGACAAAACTTTTAGCGGTGATGGATATGTTACTATCTGGATTGTGGTGATTGTTTTATGGGTGTATACATATGTCAAAGCTTATCAAATTGTATACGTCAACATGTACAGTTCATTATATGTCAGTGGTAACTCATTTTTGGGCTTCCCTGGTGGCGCAGTGGTTGAGAGTCCGCCTGCCGATGCAGGGGACACGGG